ACTCACGCCACCATCCTGGCTCCGCCCCCTCAAAATGAACCATTTTAAAGTGTACAGTTCAATGGCACTTAGTACGTTCACAGTATTCTGCAACCTTCACCTCTACTTAGTTCCAAAATACTTTGGTCACCCCAAAGGAGACCCTGTTACCCATTAAGCAATCATTAATCCCCATCTCCAGCACCTGGCGACCACTGATCTACTTTTTGTCTTCATGGATTTGCCTATTCTGGACATTTCATCTACAGACATATCTTGGAGATACCGTAGGTTCAGCTCCAGACCACTGCAGTAAAGCGAGTATCACAATAAAGCAAGTCAAATGAATTTTTTGGTTTCCCAGTGCATATGCAAGTTATGTTTATACTATACTGTAGTCTAGTAAGTGTGCAACAGCATTATGTTGAAAAACAGCAAGTCAAAATGAAGTTTTTGGTTTCCCAGTGCATATGCAAGTTATGTTTACACTATACTGTAGTAAGTGTGCAACAGCATTATGTTGAAAAACAATGTAAATGCCTTAATTAAAAAATACTTAATTGCTATGCTCACTTTGGCAGCACAGATACTAAAATTGGAATGATACAGAGAAGATTAGCATGGCTACTGCACAAGGATGACATGCAACTTTGTGACGCATTCCATGTTTAAAAATAAAAATTTATTGCTAAAAATTACCATCATCTGAGCTTTCACCGAGTCATAATCACTGATCGCAGATCACCATAACAAATATAATAATAATGAACAAGTTGGAAATGTTGTAAGAATTACCAAAATGTGACTGACATGAAGTGAGCAAATGCTGTTAGAAAAATGGTGTCAGTAGACTTGTTCAATGCAGAGTTGCCACAAGTCTTTAATTTATAAAAAATGCAGTATGTGCAAAATGCAGTAAATGAGATATGCCTGTAAATAGAATCATACAAGTGACATTTTGTATCTGGCTTCTTTCATTCGGCATAATGTTTTTGAGTTTCATCCGAGTTGTAGCATGTGTCACTACTTCATTCCTTTTTGTGGCTGAATAATACTCCATTGTTTGGCTATGCCACATTTTGTTTATCCATTTATCTATTGATGGACACTTGGCTATTGTGAATGGAGCTGCTGCGAACATTTGTGCACAGTATTTGTTTGAGTACCTGTTTTCAGTTCTTTCATTTCTATCCAGAAGTGGAATTACTGGGATATATGGAAATCCTCATGTTTAATTTTATTTTGGTGGTGCTTTCCTGCATGTGTTATAACGCCCTGGTGTCCCCAAGGGTCCCTCACAAAGAGCTGGGCACCAGCAGCTGAGCTCCATATGCAGTGGGTGATGGAGAGTTTCTCTCCATCAGTGTCAATGTCTTCTTGTTCCCTCAACCTTCTTCGTCTCCTTAGCCCCCTGGCTCCCTTAACCTATCCTCTCTCCCCCACAGATGTGCCCGTGGAGAAGCTGGCCACCATGACCGCCTTGCGCAGCATCAACCTCCGCTTCAACCCACTGAACGCCGAGGTGCGCGTCATCGCCCCACCCCTCATCAAGTTTGACATGCTCATGTCCTCGGAGGGGGCACGGGCCCCTCCACCTTAGGTCTCCCTCCTCATGCCCACCCGGCAAGGGACAGAGGCCACCTGGCCTGGCACCCTGAAGGGAGGGAGGGAGTCCCAGAGGCTCATGAGAAGTTAAGCTTGGGGGTGCCGGGGATGGGTGGGCCAAATAGCACACGGTAGGAGGGGGCACAGCTGGTCCAGGATAGATAGCTTAGAGCAGTGGTGGGCCCTGGAGTGCCCCAGAGAGAGGAGGTGAGTGGGCACTGGAGCCGAGACTCACAGCTTCTGTGCGAAGTTAGGCAGACTCCCACTCTCTCAGAGCCTCATTATTTATTTGGGAGAAGGGGCAGTGGCGGGGGCCTTCGCCTCCTTTGGGCTCCTTGAGGCTTTTCAGGCAACCCATGCCTCCAAGTTACCTTCAGATCATTTGGCACCTTCTGAGCCGACAGATGAGCATCACTGAGCATTTTCTGGGCCCCTGTGATTCTGAGTCCTTGTTACCAGTTCTGAGAGCCAGTCACTGCCCTGAGAGGAATAGAAGACAATTTCCATCTATTTATTGCTCCCTGAGAACCGACCCAGATGAAACCCTTAGTTCCCAGTCCTCACCTTGTGGGTCTCTGGATTGGTGGGAGCCTGAACCGGTAGTCATGGGAAGGCTGTGGAGAGAGCATGGCTGATGCTCAGTAGGGCTGAGAACGTGTATATAGGAGCCCAAGGCCTATTGGGCCAGGAGACCAGGGAGCAAATCAGGCCAGCTCTGTCCTCACTCACGATCAAGAAATCGGGTAGGAAATTGAGTGTTCCTTGGGGCTGACCAGCTGTGCCTGGAATCACCCTTTGAGCTGCAGAAGAGGCGGCATAGAGAGAAACAAAGCCATCTGTGCCCGTGGCTCTGGTCCAAGGTAATTAGATGGCCGTCCTCACTACAGCCTCCCTTTGGCAGCAGCCTGGCTGCTTTGTTGTTGCTCCTCCTTGGGGCCGAAGACACTATGGACCATTGGATTTGTGGCCAGTCAGCTCCCAGTCATCTCTAGGCCTTCAACCTGGGGTCTAGGGTGTGGCCAATCGATAGGATGGCCAACCATTCCTGTTTGCCCAGTACTGACAGGTTTCCTGGGACAAGGGACTTTCAGTGCTAATACCGGGACAGTACCCAGCTGGTCCCCTACCAGGAGAGAGCCTGAGGCTCTTGCTTTCTGATGACATCTGTGGCTTAGAGAGCCCCCGACCTCCCGATCTCCCAGGTATCTACCTCCCACCTTCTCATCTGTGGAGCAGGCAGGCTCAGAGCCCACAGCCCACCTGGTCTGGCCCTTTGTCTTTGTCTCTGGGAGACACTGAGGCTCCAGGACTTGTGACAAGCATGACCACCCAAATCCTATGTGCACGGACAAGTAGCCACTCTTCCACTGCTAGGGTTAAGCTGTTCAGAGCTCAGACCACGGCTCAGAGCAGTAACCCTTTCTCAGAGTGCTGCTGTCCCCTTTCCCCCTCCCCAGCCCTGGGCCTGTCCCAGCCCAGGCCTCCCATCTCTTGGAAAGTTGCTGACAGGTTGGGTCACTGGTGGCCCATCACTGAGCATTCAGTGTCCTAAGAGATGATTTGTTTGCTCTGCTCATCTTACAGGCCTGGTTGGCCAAGCTCTGGGAAAGGGGTTTTTGGGGTGAGGAGGTCTATACAGGATCTCCAGAGCTATGGAGTCCAGCTGTGCACATTGGGGACAAGTGAGGGCTACAGTTTAGCTCAGGACTGGCCCCGTACACCCTCTCTGCTGGAGTGAGGTCTCTCCTGGTCAAAGAAGGGGTGTGCTTTTCTGACATGTACATAGGCATTTTATGGCCAGAGCCTCACAACCTGAAGTGTGGTCTGTGGACCAGAAGCATCAGCATATGGGGGAGCTTGTTAGAAATGCAGAGTCCCAGGCCCCACCCCAGCCCTCCTGAATCAGAACCTGCATTTCAACAAGATCCCCAGGTGATTCCTACAAGCACTTTACCATTTGAGAAGCAAAGGCCTGGGGTGACCCTAGGGATGTCCTCAGAGTGGAGAATGAAGATTCTCTTGCCCCCTGCTACTTACAGGGCTCCGAGTCTGTGCTCATCCCTCTCTGTAAACCAGCCCCAGGAGACCCTGGGCCTCTTAGAGCCTTTCAGAGTCTACACGACTCTCCAGTGAAAGGGTGTGACCCAGAGTCACTAGGGGATGAAGGTTGGATTTACCTGGTTCTCTGGACACCGCCTTTCGGGTGAACCTCCATCTGCCAAGCTCCTGCTTCCCCAGATCCTCACCTCTGGCCCTTTGAAGGGGTTGCTTCAGGAAGCTGTATTCTACTCTGCTGGGAGAGTTTGCCCTTGCCTGCCTAGGAAAGCCTGGGCAGTCAGAGAAGCCCCCAGATCAGAGCCCACAGTGTGAATAAGCCCTTAGCCTCAGTTGCAATAAAGAATGCATTGGTTTCACTTGCCTGGTTGATGTTGAACTCATTCCCTGACTCCCACACAGACCTCATAGGCTGGGTGTCAAACCCAACCACCTCTGAAGTGGAGGGGCTGCCCCTCTTGTAGAAAGCTTGAGATAAAGCTAGACTGGCGTGATACTCAGAATATTTGCAGATGGGCACAGGCTCAGCCAAGCAAAATTGATGCATGCCCTCCAGCTGCACTGCTGCAGAGCAACCAGACATCAGCCCACGGGGAGCCCTGTATGCCTGGTAAAGGATCAAGGGGCCCATTCCCCCACTTTTCCCCCTGCTGATACCAGGAATTACACCTTTAGCAATTCACTGGGGGGCCATGTGATTCTCAGAGGGGTCTGTGCACCAGCAGCAGCCCAGGGAACCGGTTGGACATGAAAATTCTGGGCCCTCCCTCATCTACAGAATCAGACACAGTGAGAGTGGGGCCCAGGACCCTAACGCAGGCCTTTCAAAGTGTTCTGATGCATGCTCACATTGAAGACCCACTACTGGGTTCAAGGCTGAGGTCAGTTTTTGTTTTATTTAGTCTTTGAGTTTGTCTTGTGTTTTAGGCCAGACACTTCATTATTTTTTTTTTACAAACACATAGAGAGCTTAGTGGGTACCAGGCAGTGGCTAAACATGTTACAGACACTAATTTATTTAATCCCCGTAACAGCTCTAGCTAGTTTTGTGAGCTGACAAATCCCTTTCCTCTCCCGGCAGGTTGCCTTTATGTAAAGTGGAGGGCTGCTCCGGGAGATCCCCAAGCTCCTGGCCTGGGAGCCCTGCTCTAACTTTCCCCTGTGGATTAGCCTGTACTCCGGCTGCTGCCCATCCCAGCCCCAAAGGTCAGACAGAGGACTCTTTTCTTGTCAAAGGCTAGTGCACCAAAAATATCCCCAGATCCATCCATTGGTCAAACTAAGCTCCTGACTCTTCTTGCAGGATAGGAGGGCTCTCCAACTTGCTGGAGCCTGACTAGTGTGTCGTCATGGGGGAGAGAGTCGTGGTTGTTGGGCGATTCTGGAATCTGGCTTCAGGTGGGGCTTCCAGTGCAGGCGAGGACACCTTGACTGGCACTGGGTAAAGATCATGACAGAGGTTAGGAGCGGTGACACAACAATCGGGCATTTTGAGGCGAGGGGTCCAAGGAGTCTTAAGGTATAAACTCTGCATGGTAATGCTGTTTACTGATTGTTGAGCAGTCAAATGATTCGTTCAGGAAGCTCCTGGAATGAAGAATAAAGTTATTTACAACTTATACTTCCTGGGCGAGTTTCCTGGGATCGTGCTGTTATGTTGAAGAAGACGGTAGAATAATAAGGTCTTCTTAATGCAGACAATAAGCTGTGTGGGGCTAGAGGTTTTTATTATTGAAATAAAACTGACATATAACATTGTATTAGCTTCATGTATATAACATCATTATTTGATATATGTGTATATTGTGAAGTGATTGCCCCAATAAGTCTAGCTAACATCCATCACCACATGTAGAGAGTTTTGATTCTCAATCACCCCAAAATACCGTGTTGGACCTTAGAGCCCTGCTTTGGAGCTGCCCTTCACGTAAGATGTGCCTGTCCCTTTGTAGAAAGCCAGCTCTGGGGCAGGGAACAGTTCCTGGAAGGGTAAACTTTGGCAGCTGCCAGGAGCTGACCAGGGCCCTGGGAGAGGTGCCAAGGCCATGAAGAGCAGAAATGGGAGACGATGTGACTCGGGAGCACTGGGTGGGACATGGGCTGGACGGGCCCGGGAGCAGCCAGGCCACGTTATGGACTTGTGTCTCAGGGCCAGGTGGGCCAGACCCATCCCTCAGAAAAGGGACACTGGCCTAGCTGCTTTAGCTCCAAGCAGGAGCACTCACTGAGCGCCTCCTGTTTGTCAGCACTGGGCAGTTTTCTCATTTCCTTGTTTTCTCATTTGATGTTAGCAACACCCTCTCAGTGCCCACTCTCCAGATGAGGGCACAGGCTTAGTTTGGGTTAGCATGTGAGTAGGAAGGAGCAGGGCAGAGCTGGGATATGAGTTGTAGGCTGGCTTTTGGGGCAGAAGCAGCTGTTTTCTCCTGCTCACACATTCCCTGTCCCCCCCCCCCCGCCCACAATGCTGTGCAGAGGCCTCTCTGAGCCTTGCTTTCCTCATCTATAAATTGGGTGCTAACACTGCTTTCCTTAGTACCATAGGGATTAACAGCAGATGGTGTTGGTCAGTAACCTTGGGTGAGCAGCATTATGCCCATTTCATACCCCTGAGAGCCTCCTCTCCCGTTTGTTTTTGCCTGCCTTTGTGTGGGCACAGCCCTCAGCTTCCAGACAAGACCTCACCTCCCAGGCCACTGCAAAGCACTTGTGCATTCCTGGAGCATGCATGGGCGATTCACTCCCATGAGGAATGAGCAGATTTCCAGCTCACACTTACCCCATCTTCACATTTCAGCAGTCTAGGAAGCTCTGTCTCAGGCCTCTGAGGACAAGTAATGACTTGGGATGATGAGCGTTCAAAGTTGGCTAGCAGCCAGCTGAGGCTCTGCTCCTGTGTTTATGTACATCCCAATTCTTACAGCCAAGGGACCCAGGCACCCTCTTTCCTGTAGAGACAGGAAGCACTTAAATCAGGATGTCTTCAAGGGTGGAGACTGCTGGACTGCCATGTTGCACACTCCAGTGGCTGTCATTCACAGTGTGTTCTAGGCACCAGTTACATAGAAAAGTGGGAATGGGCCCTTGGAGTTGTGCAAGAATGGAGCTGGATCTCCAGACTGCCCACCAGAGTCAATCACTGGAGCGTTTTAAGATGCAGATTCCCAGGCCCACTTGTGCCCCAATAAACCAAACTTGAAGCAGGGCTCACACCTCTGCACCTTAAGTCTATTTTCCTCCTTCACAGCACCCAGAGGATCCTTTTAAATTCTCAGTCACTTGTCTGCCCCGAGTTCCACAGTGGCTGCCCATTGCACTTCAACCTATAAGCCAAGTCCTTATAACGGCACTCAAGGCTCAACATCTTCCCTCTCATTTCTCTGATGTTGTGCTTCCTGCTCCTTCACTGTGCTCAGGGTACACCAGCTGCTGCTGCTCTCAGCCCTCTGCCTCAGGTGGGCTCAGGCCTCAGGGCCTTCACGTCCCACCAGGAAGTCTGCTTCCCAAGGAGTGGCAGGGCGTAGGAAGTCCTCCTCACTTTGGTCTTCCTGTCCTTCACCAGCCATCTGTTACGGCTGGGGCTTTTCCCAAGTGGAGTGGCCGGTAGCATGCATGACCTGAGAGCATGGCAGCCCCCCAGTGCCCCACTAGCCTGCCACTGTGCCTGAGGTCCCATGGGTGTGACAGCATTGCTTTTGTTTAAGTGCTCCCTGTGTGACCTTATTCCAACCCCCAAGGACCGTAAAAGGTTTTCCCACAGACAAAGCTGAGCAGTTAGACCAGGCTACTCAAAGTGGCCCTCAGGTGAGGTGAGCAGCATCAAAAGTCCCTGAGCAGCATCAAAAGTCCCTGAGAGCATGTTAGACCTGCAGAGCCTAGGTCCCTCCCCAGACCTGCACCAGAGTCTGCATTTCAGCAAGACCCCCAGTGATCTGTGGGCACGGTAAAGTTTGAGAAGCCTAGCTTTCAATGACTTTGAGATCCCCTCCCACCTCAAAGTCCCTGTGGTAGGTGCCATAGCGTAACATTCAGAAGTTAAAAACGAATCTTATAGGTACAGGATAAATGTGTCAAAGATTTTATTCAACTCATGAATTAATGAGGGAACCACTAAGATGGTAAAGCTGGCTCCAGAGCATCTGAGGAACTGGAGTTTACATAGTCCTTAAAAAAATGTTGGAAGAAGATTGATACTATACACAACACTGTCAATGTCCTTCAGGGCAATAGTCAGCTTTGGGGTCGGCTTCTCTTCTACTGGACACAAATCCACAAGTTAACATCTAACTTCTCAAAGTCTATGCCTTCAGTGGCAACTTATGAAAGCATAACAGTACACACTTGTGGGCAAACCTGTTAGCGCTCCATGCGTGCTCTTAGCATCTTGGCCTCATATCTAGGTTCTGGGTAATATTTCCTAACAGCAGATTGCCCTGGGAGGCTGTTAATATTCCTGGGGACCAAGAGGATCACCTGCTGCGTGTCTCTGTTAAATGACTGGAACCACCCGAAGCTTGAGGAAAAGGAATGACCCAGAGCTGCGAAGAGAGAATAGAGGAGGTTGAAAAGCAGCTAAAATAAAAATATGTACTGGCGCTTAGCACATGTCTGTGAGTATGCGAAGTACTTTCCATTTCTTTTATCATTTCATCCCTACAACAGCATGACATAGCTACTATTTGTACTTCAGTTTTATAGATGAAGACCCTGGGGATAGGGAAGACAGAGAACCCAGCCAAGACATTAGTTGGTGGAACAACTGGGATTCAAACCCAGGACTTTGATGGGAGTCCATGTCTCTTAGAATTGGTATCCAAGGCCCAGAAATGGTTTACAAAAGACCCCACCCCACTGCCCCAAATAGATGGCCACTTTTCCCAAGAACCTTCAACACCTTCCCAAAGATATGTTCTTCCTGATACTGTGGAGGCTGACCTCAACCCCATCTTGATGTAGAAGCTCTCACCATCACCACCCATGGTGCAGGACCCCAGCCAGAGAGCTGGAGTTCCTCAGTGTGCCCCCAGCCCCTCCCCAGAAGAAGAGTTCTCCAGAAAGGAAGGTGAACTGTCTGAGGGAGAAAGTTCCGGCCCAAACCTCTCCCATTTTATAAATGGGAACACTGAGTTCCAGAGGGCGTGTTCCAGACAGCATGTGGAGTGACTTGCCCAAGGACATGGAGGAAGCTGGTGGCAGTGCTCGGATGAATGCTGGGTTTCCTGGCTCCTGCCCTGGGTTCTTTCTGGGGCCTTTGCTGGGTCCTGGCCTTTGGGAGCTAATCTACTCAGCACCGGAGCTCTCCTAAGCCTTTCGCTGTGGAAGTCAGCCATTTGAATCTTAGATTGTCATTTACAAATGC